ATTGGTTGACAAATAAAGCTGTTTTGGTCAATGGACATGCAGAATGTAGGCAGGCTGTATAGGCTGGGAAACTAGAGAAGGAGACTCCTAGGAAGAGAAACACAGAGAGCAAATGTTATGAGGGATGCCGTGCCACTCTGAGGATACCAGAAGTCTGGGCATAACTGGCAAGCACAAACCACACATAGATACAAGGATTAATAGAAATGGGTTAAAAATTAAGAGAGAGCTAACCAATAAGAAGCCTGAGCCATTGGCTAGTTTATAATTAATATAAGTCTCTGTGTGTTTCTTTTGGGACTAAAGGACTGTGGGACTGTGCAGGACAGAAACATCCATGTAAACTTGAAGTCCTTAAGGCTGGCTGAGCACTCATGTCTTCCACATTCACACATTAACTTTCCTGATGTTGCCAGTTGGCACCCAAATGCTTTTGACCACATCTGATGCATGTCCAGAATGCCCATTGCAACCCTACCTGGCTATTCCAATATGTAGGTACCTCCTTCCCCATTTTCCCCTATGTAATCAAACAAACTTTCCCAGCTTGGCCCTGTCCTCTACTATCTGAGGTGGGCTGGTAGTTTTTCATTAAATATGATCTTTCTTTTCCATGGAGTTTGGCTATGTCCAGTGCTTTCTTGTTGCTCCTAGTTATATTTGGTGCCAAGACCAGGAAGATATTCCTGAGTTCTTTGGGCACCTGATCCTTTATTTAACTCAACCAAAAACTTTCAATTCATCCATCCTGTGGTATGAATAATTTATCTCTGTAGGCCTCTGCTAGTCAATATACCTGAGTCCAAATTTTAGAGTCCATCTTTCAAAGAGTTACTCTCCTCTACCTATTTTAGCCACTTGTCTTCCCTCATGTACTTGGGTAAGTTCCCTCCAGAGTTTTCTGAGTATGCTTCCTACAGAGTCACATTAGTGTTTTCCATTTTCCTACAAAGTCATGCAGATATCCCAGACTTTTTCTCCCTATGGCTTTCTGGGAACTAGATGAGGAATGCCTATATTTCATGGTCTGGGCATTTTACTGAGAAACCGCAATCCAGTTGTCATGCCCTCTTGATCAAGATTCTGTGTTAGTGCACTTATGAGTTTCTCTTCCTTGATTAAGTTTCTGTCCTACTGTACTCTGAGGCTCACTATATCTCACTGTTCCATCCTTATGATCTGTAATTCCAATCTTCTTCTGTTTATATGCATTGCTGGTCTCCTTCTAGCTGGTCTCTTAATCACACACTCCAGTGACTGTACTTGGAGGCAAAGGCTTTAGCTCATTGTTTTCTACTGTTTTTGCCATAATACTGGGATTCCTTTTCCATCCATACCTCCTCAAGTCTCCTTGTTTTCACTGACCTTAGGATCCTATCAATATAAGTCAAATGCTTCCATTTTTCTTTCCTGTCTTCTCAAACCTCTTTCCTCTCTTGGAGTTTATGATTTCATTAATCATGCCATGTAATTTTCTACTGCAACACAGTCTTGGCTCAATACAAGCAATTATCAGCATCAGTGGTCACTAAATGACACATTTAACATCCAAATTTTCACAATTCTTAACAACATTTTGCCAATATGCTGCCAAATCATCCAAATCTCCTACATTTAAGGCATCCCTTTCTCCTTCTACATCTCTTTCCACACGTATCAAATCCTACTTGAACAGGCCAAAGCTCTTTACAAGGCTAACATAGTCTTGAGCACACAGCTCCCCTTGCCTTTGATTTAGACATACAAAACCTTGGCTCACCACAGGCAAAATCAAGACCTCAGGTACCACTAATAGCTCCTCAATCCTTTCCTCAGACTCCTTGGTCACTACTTTCCTTGCCTTCTCCAAAAACATCTCCAAATATTTGTCACATACCTCAATTTCTACAGGCACTATACCTTCCTTTATCTATGGTCCACCAACTTCCATCACCTACCTGAGTGCCATTTCCTTTCCTTCCCCCCAAATATTTCCCATCAGGTCTCACCAAGATGGAATCTACCCCCACAGGGAGGTGGTGGGTTCTCAAGGTTCTCTCTATATCCATGTTCCTTCCTATTTGTTTGATCTTTACTAGGTAGAGAAATATTTGTACTCTTTATCAAATGATGCCACTAATTTCTTTAAGCAATTTAGGTACTTTATTCAGTCATATAACCTTACTTGGCATGATCTATGTACTTCCCACTTCCATCCATAAATCAATAAACAGAATCCACTAAATAAATAAATGAAAATTACAGGAATCACATGATTATCTCATTAGATGCATAAAAGGTCTTTTAGAAAATTCTAAATCATTTCAAGACAAAAATTCTGAGAACGATTATGGAGTCCAAAGACATACTTTAATATAATTAAGAGAATGTAAAACAATCTCACAGGCAATATAAACTTTAAATTAGAGAAATCAAAGCATTTCCAATAAAATTTAGTACAAGTCTAGGATGTCAACTGTTTCTCACATATTTAACTTAGTATAAATATTCTTTTTATTTTATTCTTTTAAATTAGTTTTTAAATTTAGGTTAGAAACAATATTGTTTCACATGTCAATCCAAGCTTCCTCTCCCTCCCCTCCTCCCCTGACCTCCCCACCAGGTCCCCCAGTCTCCCACCTAATCTCCACTCCAATTCTCAGGGAGAGTAAGGCCTTCCATGTTGTATCTCCTAGGCCCTCCCCCAAGAGTACCGGCTAATATAGCCTCTCATACTGTGACATGGGCATTCAAAGTCTATTTGTATGCCAGGGATAAATACTACCCAAGGCCCCATAGATTACCTAGGCCTCCTCACTGACATTCAGGTGGTCTGGGTCAGTCCCATTCTTTCCACACAGCCATCAATCTGGAGTCCAAGAGCTCTGCATTGTTCAGGTCAACTGTTTCTGAGGGTTAAACCAGCTCAGTCTTAACTCCTTTCCCATCAGTTCTCCCTTTCTGACACTGGATTCCAGGAGTTCAGTTCAGTGTTTGTCTGTGGGTATCTGCCTCTGCTTTTATCAGTCACTGGATGAAAGTTCTGTTTCCTAGAGTCACTGGCAGTAGGATTGCATGCTGGGGCACCCCTGATTCATGTCTAAAATCCATAAATGAGTGAGTACATACCATGTTTTTCTTTTTGTGGCTGGGTTACCTCTCTCAGGAAAGTTTCTTCTAGTGCCATCCATTTGCCTGCAAATTTCAAGATTCCATCGTTTTTTTCCACTGAAAAGCAATCCATTGTGTAAATGTACCACATTTTCTCTATCCACTCTTCAGTTGAGAGTACTAGCATTCTTAACTGGATCAAAACGACAAATTAAGGACATCAAAGGGAATTCAATAGGAGAGAATCTAAGCTATAGTGAGTTATAAATCATATGCTTTTATATATAAGTACCCTGAGAATTCTACTAGGGAACATCTGCAGATCACTACTACATTCTGTAAAGCAGCAGCATGAAATATTAACACATAAAAACATCATTAACCTTTATATACACAAAAGTCAGTCTGAGAAAAATATTAGGGAAACAGTATCTTTTACAATATTCTCAAATAATTTACCTTATGGTAATTCTAATCAAGCAATTGAAAGACTTGTAAAATAAACACTTAAGAACTCATACAAGAATTTGAAGAAGACTTAAGAAGGTGGGGATATCACCTATTTTCATGGTTTAGTATGAGTCATATAGCAAAATTTTAAAACCTAGCAAAAGCAGTCTACAAGTTCTATACTATGCCTATGAAAATTCTAACATAATTCTTCCCAGAAATTGGAAGGACAATTTTTACCTTCATATGGAAACAAAAAATACAGGAGAGTCAAAACAATTCTAAATACTCCAAGAAACTCTAGTAGAAATTACTATTTCTGATCTCAAATTGCACCACAGAGCAATAGAAATAAAAATAGCATGGTCTTGTCATAAAATAGATACCTTTCACAAGGAAATCTAATTGATATCCCAAACATAAATCCACACATCTATGGTCACCTTATTTTTGACAGAGAATCTAAAAAGACACATTTTAAAGAAGACACTATATTCAACAAACTGTGCTGGCTAAACTGGATTAAGGCATGTAGAAGAATGTAAATATATCCATATTTATCACCCTGAACAAATTGCACTCCAAATGGATAAAAGACTTCAACACAAAGCTAGACACAGTGAGTCTTGTAGAAGACAGAGTGAGAATCATCTTAAAGTCACTGGCACAGGAAAAGACTTTCTGAACAGAATATCAGTAGTGCAGTCACAATGATCAGCAATTAAGAAATGGAATCACATGAAACTAGAAAGCTACTGTATAGCAAAGACACCATCATTTGGACAAAGTGTCAGGCTACAGAATGGAAAAATTTCTACTAATCACATATCTGATAGAGTGCTGATGGCTACAGTATGCAAGGACCCAAAACACACCAATAAAACCAGACATCAAGAAAATGAATAAGTGAGATATTTAAAAAAGGTAGATACAGAATTAAGCAAAGGGTTTTCTTTTTTTAAATTTCAAAATTTTTATTTATCTTTTTTTTGAAATTTAAAGAAAAAATTATTGAAGATCTGAAAAACAACTCCTACAAGATTGACTTTTCCATAAAACTGTATGTAGCTACACGATGCATTGCGTCTATCATGTTAAAACGTGCATTAGACATAAATACAAAAACCATGAAACGAGCCACCATTCTTTAACAATTAAGCAAAGATAAAATGCCTAAGGAACAACATGGATGACTTGCAAAGGATGGGCTCTTTAATCACCATTAAAAAAAAAAAGAGCACAGATGGATGAGTGTTCAGTTATATACACTGAAGTGAACCTTTGGCACTAGGAATCAGAGCATTTTGTCATAGAACATTAACACATATTATAAAAGTGCGTAGTGTCAAAGGAACAGAACCACCAGCATTCAAAAGCAGCTTTGTCAACTAGGCAATAAAACACTCTACAGCATGTCTCTCTGTTGTCCATCACTGAATACACTGGTAGAAACTTTGAAATGAAAAGAAAGAAGAAAAGGAGCACTGACTCCTTTTATTTTCTCTGTTTAAAATCAAACAGAAAACAAACATCAATTCTGTTATACACTAATGGTCTTCAAAGTACATCGTTTGTACAAGAGAAGGACTAAGAACCAAACTGTTTACAGAGATCCAAGCACGAGTGAGAGAGAGAGCAGGCCCCTCACACGGCTTTCCGGTGGTACTCAGGAGGGGCCACTTCATAGTCACTGGCACTGAACAAAGTTGCAGAATTCTTTGCCAGGTACTTGAGGAAATCATGTAGATAGTTCAGTAATAAAGCAAGGCTTTTCTCATCTAGAGGTGTATAGGCCAACATCGCTCCAATTCGCACAAATAATCTCAGTAAATGTGGCGCTCCATACACCTGGGACATGGGTGCATCAGGGTGATCTGCAAGAATCTCAGCATACTGTGGTCTCTCAAATTTGTAGAGTAGCTGAGTGCCCAGCATTACATTGAAGTATTCCTTTATCCCTGCCACAACCTCATTTACAGCATACTCCTTATTATCTGTATTTCCTCGGGATTTCTTATAATTCGCATAATCCTCCAAAATGGAATCCACATTCTTCTTGGCAGGAAGATAAAAAAGCTGTTTTTGTCTGGTGATCAAGTCCCAGTCATCCACAAGCCATGGTTTCAGCTCTTCAGGGATCTTCACTTTAACTTCAACTCTGTTCATGAATGTTTCTTCATTTTCAACAGTTGGATCTACCCGGGCTCTTTTCTTCCTAGGAGGTTGAGGTGTCTCACTGGTACTGCCACCATCTTCATTTCCGGGTGTTTTCTGCTTGTTCTTTTTTGTTTTCACTGCAACATTTTTCTGTTGCAGACCAGAAGTCTTCTTTCCTGGAGCAGCCCCTCTCATCTTGCCCTCTGCATACTGTTCCTGATTGGCCTTTTGAAGCTCTCGCTGTTTCTGCAAATTGGTGTCCACATATTTGAGTACTCTGCTTTCTGGAACCCATTCATTCCAATTTTTATTCCAACCACTGTAATGGATAAAGTATTTCACTTGTTTGTCCTTTATGGCAACCTTTACACACTGCTTCATAGAGAAGAGGCCCATGAAAGCATAGCACTCTCTCGCCCTCCTGGAATTTGGACTTCGGGTCCTGCTTGGGCGCCATTTATAAGTGATTCGCCTCCTCCTCCTTCTCCCACCACCCCCGACTACCGCCCTCTACTCTCTACCCCACTCAACTTCAAAATTTTTATTTTTAAATTTAAACTTAAATTAGAAAAAAGGTTGCTTCACATGTAACTCCAAGTTCCCTCTCCTTTTCTCTCCCTCCTCCCATGCCCTCCCAACAATCCCCCCCAATATCTCTGCCTTTCCCCAGGGAGGGTGAGGTCCTTCAAGAGTGTATCCATAGTCTGTAATTTCATCCAGGGCAGGGCCTGGACCCTCCCCCAAGGTTCCAGGGTGAGAGTGCATCTCTCATTGTGGGAAGGGCATCCAGAATCCATTTGTATGTCAGGGATACTGATTTACTATGCAAGACCCCATAGATTGCCTAGGCCTCCTCATTGACACCCACATTCATAGGTCTTGATCTGTCCCATGCTGGATTCCCAGCCATCAGTTTGGGTTTCAAGAGCTACCACTTGTTCAGGTCAATTGTTTCTGGTGGATAAACCAGCCCAGTCTAACCCCTTTGATCATTAGTCCGCCCTCTCTGTCACTGGGTTTCTTGAGTTCAGCTCAGTGTTTGGCTGTGTGAGTCTGCCTCTGCTTCCATCAGTCATTAGATGAAGGTCCTGTTTCCCAGAGTCTCTGGTAATTGGATTGTAGGCTGGCACTCCCCATATCTATGTCTAATATCCATAAAAGAGAGAGTACATACCATGTTTTTCTTTTTGTGACTGGGTTACCTCACTCAGGAAGGTTTCTTCTAGTGCCATCCATTTGCCTGCAAATTTCAAGATTCCATGTTTTTTCCGCTGAATAGTACTCCATTGTGTAAATGTACCACATTTTCTCTATCCACTCTTCAATTGAGGGGCATCTAGGTTGCTTCCAGGTTCTGGCTGTTACAAATAATACTGCTATGAACATAGTGGAACAGACATACTTGTTTTATGAATGTGCATCTTTGTGCACATTCATAAATGCCTAAGTGTGGAATTGCTGGGTCTTGTGGTAGATTGATTCCCATTTTCCTGAGGCATCTCCATACTTATTTCCAAAGTGTCTGTACAAGTTGGCACTCCCACCATCAGTGGAGGAGTCTTCCCCATTCCCCACATCCTCTCCAGCATAAATTGTCATTGGAGTTTTTGACTTTAGCCATTCTGACAGGAGTGAGATGGTATCTCAAAGTTGTTTTGATTTACATTTCCTGGAGAGCTAAGGATGTTGAGCACTTTCTCAAGTGCCTCTCAGCCATTTTAGACTCCTCTATTGAAAATTCTCTATTTAGTTCTGCAGCCCACTTTTTAATTGGATCCTTTGGTGTTTTGGAGACTTGCTTATTGAGCTCTTTGTAAATTTTGGAGATCAACCCTCTGTCAGATGTGGGGTTAGTGAATATCTTTTCCCAATCTGTGCGTTGCCTTTTGTCTTGCTGACAGTGTCCTTTGTCTTACAGAAGCTTCTCAGTTTCAGGAGGTCCCATTTATTAATTGTTGATCTTAGTGTCTGTGCTACTGGAGTTATGTTTAGAAAACTGTCCTCTGTACAATTTCATTCATGGGTACCTCCCACTTTCTCTTCTAACAAGTTCAATGTGGCTGCATTGATGTTGAAGTCTTTGATCTGTTTGGATTTAAGTTATGTGCATGGTGAAAGACATGGTTCTATCTGCATTCTTTTACATGTTAGCCTCCAATTATGCCAACACCATTTGTTGAAGATGCTTTCTTTTTTCCCATTGTATAAGTTTAGCTTCTTTGTCAAAGATCAGGTGTTCACAATGTATGTGTTAATGTTGGGGTGTTCAATTTAATTGCATTGGCCTATCTGTCTATTTTTGTGCCAATACTAAGCTGTTTTCAGGACTATAGCTCTGTAACACAGCTTGAAGTCAGGGATGGTGATGGCCCAGGAGTTGCCTTGTTGAAGAGGGTTCTTTTGGATATCCTGGGTCTTTTGTTTTTCCATATAAAGTCGAGGATCATCCTTTCAAGGTCTGTGAATAATTTTTGTGGGATTTTAATAGGGATTGCATTAAATTTGTATATTGCTTTCTGTATGATTGCCATTTTTACTATGTTGATCCTACCTATCAAAGAGCAAGGGAGATCTTTTCATTTTTCTGAAATCTTCTTTAATTTCTTTCTTTAATGACTCAAAGTTCTTCTGATACACATCTATCACTTGTTTGGTTAGTGTTAGTCCAAGGCTTTTTTTGTTGTTGTTGTTTGCGGCTATTTTAAAGGGCGATGTTTCTCTGATATCTTTCTCAGCCCTTTTATTGTAGCTCTTTTATCACTTGCTAAAATTAAATCAAGAACAGATAAGGAATTAAAATAGACCCATAACCCCTATTGAAATAGAAGCAGACATCAATATTCTCCTAACCAAAAAAGGACAAGAAATTCAGAGAATAGCTTATACCAATTCTTCTCAATTATTTTATAGTAGGGCTACTGATTTTCTTGAATTGATCTTGTATCCTGCCACTTTTCTGAAGGTCTTTATCAGCTGCAGGAATTCCCTGGTAGAATTTTTTGGGTCAATTATGTAAAGTACCATATTTTCTACAAATAGTGAAAGTTTGACCTGTTCCTTTGCAATTTGGATCGCCTTGATCTCTTTTTTGTCATATTGTTCTAGCTAGAACTTCAAGTACAGTATTGAAGAGGTGTGGAGAGAGTGGACAGACTTGTCTTGTTCCTGATTTTAGAGGAATCACATTGAGGTTCTGTCCATTTAGTTTGATGTTGGCTGTTGGTTTGCTGTATATAGTTTTTATTATGTTTTGGTATATTCCTGTTATGCCAGATCTCTCCAAGATCTTTATCATGAAGGCGTATTGGATTTTGTCAGAGGTTTTTTCAACATCTAGTGAGGTGATCAATTGATTTTTGTTTCTCAGGTTTTTTTATATGGCAGATTACATTGATGGATTTTCATATGCTGAACCATCCCTGCATCCCTGGGATGAGGCCTACTTGGTCATGGTGGATGAGTTTTCTGCTGTGTTCTTGGATCCGATTTGCACAATATTTTATTGAGTATTTTTCTATCAGTGTTCATGAGGGATATCGGTCTGAAGTTCTCTTTCTTAGTTGTGTCTTTATGTGGCTTGGGGATCAAGGTTATTGAAACCTTGTAGAAAGAGTTTGGCAAAAACTTTCTGCTTCTATTACATGTAATGATTTTAGAAGAATTGGTATACGCTGCTCTCTGAATTTCTGGTAGAATTCTGAACTGAGGACATCTGGCCTTGGGCTTTTTTTGGTTGGGAGAATTTTGCTGACTGCTTCTATTTCCATAGGAGTTATTGGTCTGTTTTAATTGCTTATCTATTGTTGATTTAATTTTGAAAAGTGATAGCTATCCAGAAAATTGTCCATTTCCTTTAGATTCTCAAATATTGTGCAGTACAGGTTTTTAAAGTATGACCTGATGATTCTCTGAATTTCCTCAGTTTCCATTGTTATATCCCCCTTTTTGTTTATGATTTTGTTAATTTACCTGTTCAAATTCTGCTGTTTGGTAAGTTTGGATAAAAGTTTGTCTATCTTGTTGATTTTCTCAATGAACCAAGTCTTTATTTCATTGATTCTTTGTATTGTTTTCCTGGTTTCTACTTTATTAATTTCAGCACTCATTTTGATTAATTCCTGGCATCTACTCCTCCTGGGTGAGTTTGCTTCTTTGTGTTCTAGAGCTTTCAGCTGTGCTGTTAATTCTCTAGTATAACTATTCTCCAGTTTCTTCATGTGGGCACTAGTGCTCTGAACTTCCCCATAGCACTGCTTTCAAAGTGTCCCATAAGTTTGGGTATGTTGTGTCTTCATTCGCATTGAATTCTATGAAGATTTTAATTTTTTTACTTCTTCTTTGACCCAGGAATGGTACAATTGTGGATTATTCAAATTCCTTGAATTTGTAGGCTTCCTGCAATTTGTGTTGTTGCTGAATTCTAATTTTAATGCATGGTGGTCTAATAAGCTTCATGGAGTTATCCCAATTTTTTTTTGTGCCTGATGAGGTTTGATATGTTTTCAAGTATGTGGTCAATTTTTGAGAAGGTTCCATGTAGTGCTGGAAAGAAGTTATATTCTTTTTTATTTGGATGGATTGTTCTATAGATGTCTGTTAATCCCAAATGGGTCATAACTTCTACTAGTTCCTTTGTTTCTTTGATAAGTTTCTTCTGGCAGCCCTGTCTAGTGGAGAGAATGGGATGTTGAAGTCTCACACTATAAGTGTGTGGGGCTCTATATGTAGTGAGTTTTAGTTATGTGTCTTGTATTAACGTAGATGCCTTTGTATTTGGGGCATAGCCGTTCAGAATTGAGACTTCATCTTAGTGGATTTCTCCTGTGATGAGTATGGAATGACCTCCTTCATCTCTTTTGATTGATTTTATTTTTAAAATATAATTTGTTAGATATTAGGATTGCTATTCCCACTTGTTTCTTGGGTCCATTTGATTGGACAATCTTTTCCCAACCCTTAACTCTGAGGTATTGTCTGTCTCTGAGCGTGAGGTGTGTTTCTTCTAAGCAGCAGAAGGATGGCTTGTGTTTTCAAATCCATTCTGTTAGCCTGTGTCTTTTTATGTGTGAGTTAAGGCCATTAATATTGAGGGATATTAATGACCATTGATTACTCATTCTTCTTTCACTTGGAATGGTTGTTGTTGGTGGAATTATGTGAGGAATTCCATTCCTATTTTTGGCTGTTGGTAAGGTGGGATTATCTATGCCTATGTTTTTCTGTTTGTAGTTAACTCCCTTGGGTTGGAGTTTTACTTCCAGTACTTTCTTTAGAGATGGGTTAGTGGATACTTATTGTTTAAATCTGATTTTGTCATGGAGTATCTTGTTTTCTCCATCTATAGTGATTGAAATCTTTGCTGGGTATAGCAGTCTGGGCTGGCATTCATGGTCTCTTAGTGTTGGTAGAATATCTATCCAGGACCTTCTGGCTTTCAGAGTTTCCATGGAGAAGTCAGGTGTGATTCTGGCA